CTCCCCAGTATGGGGTGTGCAGGAGGCAGCCGATCAATGATTCTTTCTCATCATTGATGTTTCTCTCTCTCTCTCCCTCTCCTTTCCTCTCTGAGATCAATAAAAATATATTTAAAAAAAGAATTCCCCCCAAAAGAAACACTCATGAACACACGTGCTCACAGTGAGAGGGGTGTGGCCAGCGAGGGCCCCCATGATCTCATAAGTTGTAGTTTTGCCTCAACTCTGAAGCGACCACTAGGTAAGTGATAGACGTGCTAAGTCGCCTCTCAGCCATGGGCCCTGGGTCTTGTTCAGCTCACTCACCTCGTCTCCTCTCTCCCAGACTCTACGTCCCAGGCAAGTGTTTGGTGTTTTGTGATAAGAATTACGTGTTGCCCAGCCAGTGGGGCTCAGCGGTTGAGCATCGACCTATAAACCAGGAGGTCATAGTTCGATTCCCAGTCAGGGCACAGGCCTGGGTTGCAGGCTCGATCCCCAGTGTGGGGCGTGCAGGAGGCAGCTGATCAATGACTGTCTCTCATCACTGATGTTTCTATCGCTCTCTCCCTCTCCCTTTGTCTCTGAAATCAATAAAAATATATTTTTTAAAAAGAAAAAAAAAATTTGGGGCTTCCTGTTTTCCTGGGCTGTTGCCCAAAAGCATATAAATGTATTCTATTAGGTTCTTTCACCTGGAAATGTGTGGAAGACACCACACTGACCTTTCCTGAGAAACATTTTCTGACCCTAAGAACCCACACAACCCTTTCACTCCACAGCCCAGTAAGTCCAGGCCCCCAGGAAACGCACACATCCACAATCACCATTAGAATTTCTGGTTGGTGGTGGGGAATGTTATTCTCATTGCCGGTCATTTAACAGACCATGACTATTTCTACAAAAAGCCTACTCCTCCTCCTGCGGGACAATATACAGCTAGCTTTTCGAAGGTGTATTTCTATGAGCAAGAAACCATTTTTGACTTTTCAAACCTCTGGCCAGAGTAGGTAATGAACTGAATGACAGTTGAGGTGTATTTCTTTAGAAATGGTCAGTAGCCAACCAAATACTTTGTATTCTTTATGGTCACCTCTGATGTTCACGTTTTATTTATTTTTTTAAAATATATTTTATTGATTTTTTACAAAGAGGAAGGGAGAGGGATAGAGAGTTAGGAACATTGATGAGAGAGAAACATTGATCAGCTGCCTCCTGCACACCCCCTACTGGGGATGTGCCCGCAACCAAGGCACATGCCCTTGACCGGAATCAAACCTGGGACCCTTGAGTCCGCAGGCCGACGCTCTATCCACTGAGCCAAGCCGGTGAGGGCATGACATTCGCGTTTTAAATGAAAGGTCGGTGAAAGGTGAAGAGGGGGGAGGAGCTAAGCTTACACACGGAAGTCAGCAGGGTATAGTGGCAGCGGCGCTGGCTTTTCCTTTCCTGGTTCCCCAACACGGGGTTACCTTCCCCCCAGGAAACCTTTGCATCTCCTGGAGTTACAGTGAGTAAATGAGCTAAAACAGTTTAACCGTTTGGCTGCTGATGTATTTTTTCGGACATATGCCAAAACTGCGGCACTAATTGCGCATGTATGGGAAAAAACGTAAAACACTTTTTATACAATAAACTCACTTGTATTGCTTTGCAACAACAAAAATTAAAAAACACCAATTGTTTACATAAATTTGTTTTAATTAGAAGAGCGCGATAGCGCTCCTTAGCAGTCAAATGGTTAACACATGAAAGTCATTTTTAAAGTATTTTCACCGTGAGAATTCCATGAGTTCCTTCCACGTAAAGTTCCACCCACCCACAGCCCCCACTCCACGCTGGCTGTAATAGGGAGATCGACCAGTGGTGTGGACGCAGAAAGCAGCCCAGCCCCTCAGCACCCCAGAACTGGCCCTCGCCTGGTTCTCTCAGGTTTAAAAAATAACAGCAAAAAGGCATTGTAAACATCTTTAGTAACCAGAGTTTGAAGTAAAATTTAGAAGTTCAGTTCTTGCCGAACTTTACTTGCTGCAGAAGTTTAGAAACACGGGTGAGGTTATGAGAAACTAGAATCTTCAAGGGAATATAAGAAAGGAGTTGGGAGATTATGTGACACCCCCTAAGATGGCCCTCCTGGACCCAGGAGAGCCAGGCTGTCAAGGCAGGGGGCGTCCTTCCTCTCTCACCGAAAGCCTCACGACACCCCACGCTCTTTGTGAGGGGACTGAAGGCCCAGGCACTGAGAACACACGGGTCCTGAGGCTGACGGCACAGCAGAGCGGGCCCACCCTCCGCTGGAGCACAGCTCCCCGAACACCCCGCCCCAGAACACACCTGCTTCCTTTGTCGTCCTCCAGGAGCTGCAGCTTGTAATAGGAGTTGGTTCCTTTAACAATGTCCACCAGGCCCAGCGTGGCACTGAAGACCTTCCCGCCTTTCTCCAGGACGTGCGCAGAGCGTTCCAGACCTGCCCCGGAGGCAGGGCCCCTTAGCTCCTCCTCCAGGGGGGCAGGGTGCTCAGGGGTAAGTAAGGGGTCTGCAGAGTCCACACCCGCTTGAACACCCTAGCGCCACCCCTGGAGGGTCCCCACAGGCGTGCGTGGTCTCAGGACAGGGTGGTGGTGGTGGGAGCCCGAGGGCAAAGGCGGGCCCCACTCTCCCATCATCGGTTTGCTTACCAGAATCAGGATCAACAGCAGCCCCTCCTTTAAGAGTTAATTTCACTGTCTTTTCAGATTTGTTGTTTCCTTGGAAGGGGAGGGAGAAATGTGAACGTTAAATTAAAAGTAAATTAAAAAGGGAAAGCAAGACAAGGGGGTCATTTCCACTTGTATCTCATTATCTCATGCCAACACGGGACCCGTGCGCCTTCCACCACCCAGGCCGTCTCAGGGGCCCATGCAGACGGGGACAGACCGGGACCTAGGACCCAACGGGCCCCTGGCACCCCTGGCTCAGTCCCCAGAGGGCAGCTCAGGCCTCACCTTCCTCTTTGACGGGGGCTTTGCTCTTTTTGGAGACCGCAGCCCCCGACTTCGGTTTTGGGGCCACGACTTCGACAGGCTCCTCCTTCACGGCGGCGCCCCAGGGGGACAGCAGGTGGGCTGAGACCAGCTCCTGGAAGCTCTTGGCTGAGGCAGCCACGTCCTGGAGGAACTCCTCAGACACCACTCGAATGTTGCCCTCTTTTACTTCCTCCATCTTTTTATTCATCTTTTCCACCTCCTCTGTTCAAATCAGGCAGAAAACGGAAGAATAAACAAGTTTAAAACTGATGTCAAATCTCAAATTTCTAGTCATACTTACTCCCAGACCCTCATCACCCACAGCTCGCCTGTCCTCCCAGCCTCATGCTCTGGGGCTATTTCCACAACTGCCTTTCCCAGCAATACTCCTTCTCTACAGCATGATGCGCTAATGCCTCTAGACCAGCTGTGGGCAAACTACGGGCCGGATCTGGCCCATTTGAAATGAATAAAACTAAAAAAGACGGTACCCTTTTATGTAATGATGTTTACTTTGAATTTATATTAGTTCACACAAACACTCCATCCATGCTTTTGTTCCAGCCCTCCGGTCCAGTTTAAGAACCCATTGTGGCCCTCAAGTCAAAAAGTTTGCCCACCCCTGGTCTAGACCATTCTACTGAATGAGAAGTTAGTAACATTCAAGAAAAAGGACCCGGAAGGCAGTATGTTTGGAAAATGCTGCACGCTGTCTCTCTGTCTCAGAGACTTATTACAATGGTCATCAGTGTAATAATGCTGCGAAGAAACCCATTTACCTTTGCTTCACTGCATTTCCCTAGTATACTTCAGCTGCAAACTTTTGTTTTGGCAGCAAACCTACTAATCCCTGTGGCACAGCGCCGGTGACAGGAGTGAGAACAGCAGCCTCAGCCTTTAGCGGGAGAAGGACCTGAACCCGCTCCAGTCGGAGCAGCGGCACCAGGGGCACACGCTGGCCACCCTTCCCTAGAGCAGAGCAACCGCGCCGTCCGCGACACGCTGCCCGCCCTCAGCCTGCCCCCATTCAACCCTCGGCACGATCCCAAGAGGTGGCGCGCCATCTCGGGCTGCAACGGGGCTGCACTCACTCTTGGTGCTGATGCACAGCGAGGCCTTGTTGGCCGTCCCCGTCAGCTTCCCCCCGAGTTTCTCGACGGCGGCCTTCACCTCGTCCTTGTTCTGGGAGAGCTTCCCGAGAGCCAGGATCTTCATGTTGGACAGCGGCTTATCTGGGACGGAGAACAGAACCGTGAGGCAGG